CTCTTTTTGATGACCTTAACCTCATTTTTTGAGGGACAAGGGAAGGTGTGGTCTCGGGTAGTGAAGAAAGATCCGCCCAAGGTTTGACTGCTCCGGAAGGAAGTGGGTCGCGAGCCCAATTGATAGGCCAAAGCGTGGCCTGAGGGTTGTTCCGCCTATAGAGCCGATGAGTGCTCCCCTTAAAGCGAGGAAAGATAGGAAGGGGGGGAGAAAGAGGAAAGGGACGAAGAAATCGAAGTCCGCTTCCCCAAGATTGGTAGGAAGGATCTGTGTGAGCAAAAAGGGTTTGCTCGCCGTGGATACATCTTCGATGTCTCCTCTTATGAAACGTGCATGGGTGGGATTTCATATAGCCTCGACTCCGCCTGCCATTGACGCCATCTCAGCCCTGGTAGCAGAGCTGGGAACGACTGCACCTCTACCCGGAGGGTCGAGTCTATCCTCATCTAGTTTTGGGTGTGAATCAGAAGGTCTTCCATCCGAGGTTGAGGCGGAGGCAACGCCTCCCATCAATAACTGCACTGTGCCCTCCGCCCGATCTACGGTGTCTACTCTTACTGTCTCAGAAGTGTGGCGGAAAGAGACACCCTCTTCAAGAGTCCCTTTTTCTAATTAGGCGACCACTCTGCTCAAGAATCCCCAGTCCCAAAGGTACATGTGGAAGACCCTTCGTCTGAGCCTGTCGCTGGCTCGGGAGAGTCTTTGGCTATCATTGTTGGGGACACTATCCTCGAAGTCCCTCCTCTCAATGTAATTGACTCTTCATCTCCTCCTCATCACCCTTGGACGCTAAGGCGCTCATGTTGAGATGGATGCTATGCTCTAGCCTTCAGAGGATAAAGGGGTGTCCTCTTTCAGATATCAATGAAAGGGTTGAGGTTTTTAGGGCTTGCACAGGCGGTTTACAGGCTGTGTACCCTGATAAGGGCACATCCTTCATCCCGACAATCTTTAACATATGAGCATAGGTAGCCTCTGCTAGGTTACCATTAATCTCGTAAGTCCTCGAAAAATATGCAGAGAGCCACCCAAAGATGTAATGGACCGGGAAGCTTGTGGTAAAACGCCCAAGAAAGCCTTTGTCCACAAGGACCTCACTGCCACTGTCTTTCAAAGGAGCTTTACCACAAGAAATAGCCCCAGCCCATGGGAGATGCCGCACAAAACAGGCTGAACCAATGCTAAGCCAGTCCCTTGAGCATCATGCAGGCCATGTAAAAGCCACTCGGCCAAATGATGTAACCTCTTGCCCTCGGCAGGGCGAACTTCAATAGAAAAAGACCAAGTAAGCAGCCAAGTATACTCGGTCCCGCCCCTCTCGCCTAGGAGGGGTAACTATTCTCTTGGAAGCCTTAATGGCCTTTGCATTCAACATGCCGTCACTCCGCGAGATACTTGAACTAGCGTCTTCCCCATCTTGACGGTTACCGTGGAAATAATCCCTCCACGCTTCAAAGTGCACCCTGCCAGACTTGAGTTTGGTCTCCGAGAGAAAGAGCTGATAAATCTCAAACAACTCCCAGAGACCAGGAGGAGTCAGCCTACCCTTGATGAGTTAGTCACCAAAAATAGCCCGATTGCTGGGTATGAACTCCTCATACTCTTTCCCCAACAGGGGCAGGCCACCCACAAAGCATAGATCTAGGAGGGTGAGTTCTGCTTCACCGCCATCCAAGAGTCAACTGTTAGGTTCTATGGCACCATGTCTCCAACAAAGTTTTGATGGTATTGGAGCAGCGGTCATAATCGCAGGTCGAGCATTTACACGTCGCGGCCTGCTCACATTCTTTCAAAACACCAGCAAAAGAATCAAGGACGTCAAATATCGTGTTGTACACAGCCACAAATTGATGCTCTCCCTCAAAGCGAAGAGCACCAGCGGCCCATTGAAGGCCCGGCTTGGCAAACATCCTCTTCCCCAGCCTATGCATATCCTCAATGGAAGCAAAGTCTCTATGTGGGGCATGATTGAGGGGAATGCCGTCCCTCTGAGTAAGAGGCTCTCCATCAGCATCCCCGTACAAACAGAGTTCAGTGCTTTCCCCCACATACGTAATTCTGGAGGGCCACTTTATTTCCCGAGTAGGATCAAGGTCCCCGACTGAGATGCCCCTGACCAGAGAGGATCCTATGTAAGAATCCATCCCCAGCTCTTCCTCACGGGGTAATTGGTTCACGTCGAGAATTCTCACTGCAAAGAAACAAAAGAAAAAAGGTGAACAACCCAGACCGCAGAGCTCAACAAGCATCAAGAAAAAGGAACAAAAAGCCAATAGATAGCCAAACACCAGGGGACAAATCAAAAGAATAAGAGCCTTATCAGTAGAAAGGGCAGAACTCGTACTAGCCATTATAGTCAATAAGCGCTCAAAGGCTAGAGACGCTACCCGAGAGTGATGGTGAAAGGGGCGCAGGAAGAAGAAAAAAAGAAAATTAAGGTTTTCTCTCTAGATAAAAAGCCCTGGTAAAAATGAGAACTACCCCTACGCCCCTTTTATAAAGCCGAAAGAAGAGATAGCGTATCGCACAAAACCGGCGAAGTGACACGTGGCCCAATCATGAGGGAGCACGAACGGCACGCGATGCGACACGTCGCATAAAAATTGGTGCATGGGAGCGCAACTGGTGTGCAAACTGAAGCGCCACACAAGTAAAATGTCGTGTGACTCAGCGGTACGGAAGTACGAAAAACACATGACGCGACGTGTCACATGCAAAAGATCATGCTCCGTCTCAAGGAGGCACATAGGACATGCAATCAAGACGCAGTGCAATCCCGTTGCAGTCCCCTCATTCAGCATTTATTGCCCTTTGTGCGCGTCTCTGTTTACCAAGAACGGCGCACCCACTACCGGCAAAATGCTAGCCCACACAAGCATCGAGCTCACTCAAGAGCTCAGCACACACTCATGCACCACTACACTAGGTGGACAAGCGAACCACGATCCTTGCGCCCTCCGCACACACAGTGCTCAAAAAAAAAAAAATAGCCCCTTGCAAAAATTAGAAATGATGCATACCCCAAGGGTTAGGACGCAAACCCGCAAGGGCGTCCCAATTGTCCATATCAAGGGAAACGACGATTGTCCCATGGGCAAAATGAGCGTCCTACAAACCATTTCTTATCCTCACCATCAGCGAGGAAAACAACTAAGCCAAGGAAAGACAAGGCGAGCAAACCATGGATGACTAAATGTGAAATTCTTGAAGAAGAAAACATAGAATGAAGAGGATAATTTATTTGGGTCTTGTGAAATGATTTTTTTTCGAGTGAACTCCCTTGCAAACCTTGAGGTAGGATATTGTACATATCCCCTTGAACGGTCCAAATCTCACTTAAATCTGACTTACGGTTTGAAAGTTATGGGCCAAACAAATTTGTTGGCAGAACATCCCATTCTAGTCTCTATTGCATGAATCTCTGCGACCTGCGTATATGCCTTGCACGAAAGGGAGTTATACTCGTAAATTTTCAGGCCAAAAACTTATCTAAAAAATCCTAGATCCTTCTAGAACTTTTTAGGTGTCCATGGAGTCTTCGAGGTCGGTTCTTAGACGCATCTTTAAACATAAAACCCAAGGAAGCCAATAGAATATTCTTAAAGAATGACCAGATACCAAGCCTTTATAAACCCCTTCAACCACCCATTGAAAATTCATCCAAAATTCTTTAGAAAATCCTAGAAAATCCCAAGTTCCCTAGAAAATTAAGAAAATAACCTAAAATCCTCAAAAAATTAAGAAACATAACCAGAAAAATTCCCTAAGGCTCTTGAAACCCTAGCAAAACCCTAAGCCAAAGTTCCTTAAAAAATTCTCTAAAAACATTTAAAAATTTCAAAACCCTAGGAACAAGATCTCCTAAACCTGAAAACCCTTTAAAACCAATTCTTTAATAAAACAAGAGAAGGCACTATAAGTGTAAATCAACCAATGGTCTTGATACGGACCCCAACTCCGAGTTTTCTCGGGTAAGTGATACCCTCCTTACCTTTATTTTTTTCTTATATTTCCTCTTTGTTTCTTGATTTCCTAGTTTAGATCTTTAGATTTTTTCTTTTAAATATTTATTTGGTGAGAGATTTCAGCTGGCGTTGCCAGCAAATTCAAAAGGGATTAGAGCTTAAATATGCATCAGTTTTGTATTTATAATTCAACCGATCCTACTTCTCTATTGATCTATTCATATTTAACCATTTGACATGAATTTTAAGAGATCTCACTCGAGATCTTCCCTACTTCTCTATTGATCTATTCATATTTAACCATTTAACATGAATTTTAACCTTCCCTACTTCTCTATTGATCTATTCATATTTAACCATTTAACATGAATTTTAAGAGATCTCACTCGAGATGTTCCCATGTTTGTGCGTAAACAGGTGCATTCTCTGACCTTTTACTTTTCGTTTGTCAGTTTGTTTCCCCCAGCTCCCTGTATCAGTAAACCACTAAGCCCATGTTCCTTTGAATTTGCAAAAGCTTATGGTTGGGTTATCAAAATTGACCTAATAGATGGTCAGATCTTAAAGATTACAATTGTATCCTTAGAGACATGCACTCTTATAGATACGAGAGTCCTCTCTCTTAAAACATATGTATAACTCTTTCAAACAAATCACATCTTGAAAGAGTGGATTTCTATTTGCGATTGTATATGCAAGTTGTGAGAAGGCTTGATGCCAAGATTTTGGCTCATGTTCTCTTCAAGCTTAGCCTTCTAACACAAGGCTTATTCTCAAATGTGATTCTAAAATAGCTTATATGTGCATATCCAACTTTCTTGCCCAATCTCATACAATCATGAGATGAGCTTATATCGACTCTGACTAGAGAAAACCCTCAAACCCCACGATTTTAAAAAAACCCTTCATGTAACCCTCATGATATGAGGTTTACAACTCTCCTGATCCCAGTTCGCTAAGTAAGGTGTTCTTGTTCAATCCCATTGTGACCAAGAACTATCATAAAATGAGAGGGTCAAAACCTACAACCGGCCATAACTCCAACATCAATCACCATTGAAGAAAATAGTAATCTCTTTTAAAACAAATATTAGAAAAAATTAATCATTTGCTTCCACTAAGCTTCATACCATCTTTGTCTCACATCTGAAGAGGCGACATCGAGAAGTAGATCAAAACTATGAGTTTTATTTGTGGACAACAAAACAATGAAATGTAAACTACACATTGTACAAGAAAGAAAGCAGGAAAGAATCATAGAACTGCTGAATTTCCTTCAGAGGAGACAGCACGAGCTGAAGAAGAAGAGGCAGAAGCACTATGTTCATCTCTAAATGAGGCACCACCCTCCCTCTGCACTCCTTGGCCGGCATCTGAGTGCAAGGGTCCGGTAGGAGAGCACTTCTCCTGATGTGCTTCCTGACATGGTGGTGGCAGTGGTCTGATTGGGGTAGCGTAGATTGCACCGCAAGTAACAGGGGATGGGGTTGGAACTGCATATTCTGGGAGTCCCCAAATGCCCCCCACCACAACAAATTGAGGGGCCTGAGGATTTATGGGCTGCGAAGCCGGGACAGCTGCTGGCGTCCTTGTGTGGAGTCTATACTTCTGCAAGCCAACGTATACACATCATTATAAAAAATCAACCTCAATACCATTCAATTTTATGTTTGGGCCATATGTAAAAAATGCTTGCAGGGACAGGGATATATTGGGGTAATCAGATTGGCAATCTACAACAAATATTTGTCAACGCATGGTAAAAATCAGCTTCCATTATAGACCTAATGGGAAAAAAATGGTTCATCTTCAGTGTCCATTGATAAGTAACCAGTACAATGTTATTGATGGATGGAGGAGGTGAGCCACTGTTACAAGCATAAAAGCAACATAGTGGTTCATCTCTACTATCCATTGCCAAGTATCCCACAAAGTAACCGCCATGAGTATATTTGCACACTCCCTTTTTCATGCACAAGCACCGCCAACACCAAAACCTCTCATCAATCATTGAGATTATCCATCCCCTGCAAAAGATATGCAGTCTTTCCTCCCACAGATGGTGGATGGGGGCGCAAGCATACTTTCTTGCCCTAAATTTTGCTATATGGGAATGTTTTTTTGCTACAAACCAACAGTGTGTGATACATCTATATTGAGCTACCAAGTTATGTTTATTGAGAAAACTAGTATTCAATGTGTGAACATTGGGCTAATATGGATCCGCAAATCTTGATCTAGATAAGAAATTATCTGGGCAAATTAGGAGAACATTAAAATATTAATCTTATACTTTCAAATAGTAAACAAATTAAAAATTTTAAAAATAACTTGAGCGGGAACTGGGCCCTATCTTCAAACACATTTGTCAGGCCCTTTGATGAGCGCCTTTAAGTCAGATTGATTCCCGATTCCCGATTTCAGTATGGAACTTGGTCAGTCCACCACAAATCCTAGTTAGATCCTCGATTCCCGTGTCAGATTAGCAAATCTAAAAAAAAAAAACCAAAAACAGAACGAAATTGGCAGACTTGAGAGGAGGTTTCATCTCCATCCTCCTCTATTCTTGAGGTTAAGATGCTCGTACAACATGCAGTATGTTGTTCGTGTGCTGCACGCGACATACAATATATCATCCTACACTTATGATTCTATTGGGAAATGTTCAAATATTTTCCCTATTGTACTACCAGACCTTTTCTCTGGCACATAAAATTGGTTATAGGGATTTGGTGGCAAATGAGAAATAAAATTAAATGTTGTAACAGATTTCTCCCTAGGTTATGGAGGGAGAAAATAGAGACTTAGGCGGTGGTGTTCCTAAAACTAAATCAAACTTCTATAAAACGGGGTAGAAAAAGTATACAAGTCAAAAAGTTTATATAAGGTGTCAACATTATACTAAGGTGCACCTAAAATACCCATCAGCGAAAGTTGTTCTTGTTCTGGAAAATCCTCAAATCGTCATCTCGACCTCAAGATTCATATACAAGAAAAAAAGGGGATTTTTATTCCTAGGAATAACTCATCTTCTATCTGGACCATTCATTTTCAAGATTTCATAGATCTGCTTGATCATCACTATTTTTAGAACCTTAAATTTCATAACTAAGAGAAACATTAGATTTTTCATATCATTGGAAAGCTTTTCTGCACGGAAACTGCAGGTTCGGCATAATTTTGAGGTACAGCTTACTGCAATAGTATAAGGTTGAAACCTTATACAAACCTCACCCTGAATTTAAAGGGTTGCTAACGATTTTTACGTGCTAAAAGTAAAGTGAAAAACAAGAAAAAAGAGTGAGCACAAAGTCCTTTTTCTGCCCAATTTTGATCAAAAGCACAAATCTCTCGGGAATTGTAAAGGCAAAAAATTACCTGCAGGTGGCTTTTGACTTCGTCATTGGTGAGGCCATCTACCTTCATCAGTTCTCTGATTTGCTTCGGAGTAGCAGCTGCAAAATTAAAAGCCATCAATTTTTGTTTGATAAATCTTAGAGAGATAGAGAGAAAGAGATTGTTTGATAAATCTTAGAGAGATAGAGAGAAAGAGATTGTTTGATAAATCTTAGAGAGAGAAAGAGATGGATACTAACTATGTGAGCCTCCTAGTTGCTGAAGCGCATGCAAGAAACGGCGGTGCAACTCAGGGGACCAGCATCTCCTTGATTTCCTGTTCGGCTGCCCTTCCTTCTCTCTCTCTCTCTCCTTCTCCCTTACTTTCACCCGTTCATTTCCACTCCCTGAAACCGCTTCGGCTCGCCCTTCTCTCTCTCTAGAAAAGGGCTGAAATGCTCCTCTCTGTTTCTTAGTTCCTAATTTCGGATTCAAACCTGCATCCTGCACATTACTTGTGAAATGCCTCTTAATCTCTCTAAAAAAAAGGCTTCTTTTTAAATGCTTGTAATATGACTCATACCTCATTTCTTGATGGATCTGCATCAGAGTTCCAAAGCTGAACCGACCTGAGCCAATCTGGCTTATCGTTTTGGTCTTCTGGTTTCCTCTTCTTCTCTCCAGCAGGAGCCTGTGTTGTTTCAGAAGTGCTTCTTTTCAAAGGAAAAAATTCTTCAAAAGGAGGGTCCTCGCCCGAAGTCTCACCATACCCTGATCGAGCCGGCACCTCTTCGTTCGAAAGTTCAAGCTGTTCCCTACAGGTATTAATGGCTGCTCAGCCCCACAACAAACCCATCAAAACAGAGACAGCAATGAAACTACTCAACACATGAGAGAGAGGGAGAAGAGGATGGATTAAAACCTTGTGTCACTAGATGCAAACAAAGGGGGAGCTCACGCTGAAACACCTGGATCTTGCGCTTCTCCTCTTCTAAGGCCTCCATGTATTCTCTGCAACTTTTCAATCTCTCACAAGATCCCATGTCTCGCAGGACAGGAAAGGTAAAGATAAGGTTTAGAGTGAGAAACAGAGGTGATGGGTTCCTTCAAATTCAATTAAAGCAGAGAGAATAAGCATCGCTGGGTCCGCCCAAGAGCAGTGGTCAGGGATCTCGGCATAAAACCCCCGCTGCAAGAATATCCCACATCAATTCTAGAGAGAGAAACAGGAGAGAGAAAGCAGATGGTGTTACGATCGAAGTCGGCCCGTCGCGTACCAGACGAATCTGTTAAGGGGGTGAGCTTTGAGACCCTAGGCTCAAAACATCTAAATTAGACCCCACCTTCAAATACTTGTCAATAAAGGTTGTTTTAAATTTTTGCTGAGTCTCAAAATATGTTTTATTTCTAAAACTTGAAATCTTATTTTTTTTTTGTTCATGTATTTTGATGTCGAGAAGATCAATTTGAAGATATTTGAACATTAAAAAAAATCTCATGAAATTTTTGAAAAAGGCTCAAATTTGTTTGTTTAGAGCTCTACGTAAACTTTTCCCATCTTTTAAAAGAAAGAAGCAGACATAAAATAAATAAAACAAAGAAAGGTTGAATATTCTTCCCGAGGAGTCAAAAAGAAAGAAAACGGTTTCATAGGGCTGCCGCCCTACCAAAATAAGTAAAGCCTCCTATTATAAATCATCTAAAATTAATAAGAATTTTAGCATTAGAAAATCATAGAAATGATCAACTCAGCTTAAATATTACGGTTGTCAAGAAAACTAATGAAGTTAAACTCTAAAAATAACATGTAATAGATCTATTTAGTGTTAATAGATCTGTAAAATTTGTATATTTTTTTAGTTTTAGAAATTTATTATGGGGGGTTGGAAATTAATTTTAAAGAATCATAAAGATATGTCTATTTAGTGTTAATGGATCCGCAAGATCTCTACATTTTTTTTAGTTTTAAATTTTATTATTGATGTTAAAAAATAATATTAAAAAATTATAAAAATTTTTGTTGCTTAAAATACTTTTAAAAAGAGAATTGAAATTGAGGCTTTATTTTATTTTTATAAAGCCTAGGGGTTTATAGAAACTTCACGAAAGGGAGGAGAAGAATAGTATTTGAATTTTGAATATTCCCGTGAAGATTCCGTGGAGGGGCTGGCAATGACGTGGGTACTACTAGCGGATAAGTTCGAGGAGTTAGAGAGAGAAAGAATCATCCATCGTCCGACTTCGGCCATGCCTCGTATCTCTCACATCAAAGACACGCGGACATGCGTCGAAGCTGCACTGCGGATCACCGTTCCCTCATTTCCCTAAAATTTTTCTATTTTTTCTTGTTTTGGAAAAAAAAAGAAATAAATACGAAAGATGAAATTGTTCATGCTCCCTCGGGTGCATTTCATTAGTTCACCTACGAGGCGAGATCACCATAAGTGTATCATCCCGGCCACATATTTGCAGAATTGCAACCGGTTCAAACCTAAGATGAAAGATTTAATTCTCCCTCCGGTGCATTTCTTGTTTTTTTTTTTTCCCTTCATATACTTGAAAAAAAAAAAATAGTGTTTCAAGATTGAAAATAGACCGTCCAATATTTAGTGAGACCTGAGTGCTAGAAAACTTAAATTTCATTTTTTTTTTGTTTTTTTTTAAGAATAATGGTCCAATGATTCTTAAATGATTTCCAAAACTTGATATCGAAGAAACCCACCCCAATAGATAGAAACTATGCTCCCTAAAAAGCATAGTATACTGCTCAAATCTCAAATGAGGACCATCCAGTATTCTTCCGTCAAATCTAATAATTTAGTATGCAATTTCTTTTGCATAAATCATGCATTAATTTCATTTAGTTGGGAAATAGAAAAGTCTTTCCTCAAAAAATGCATGTGTACTGAATGCTCCCCCTGGAGTATGAAACACGCGCCTCCGTGATTCCCAACCATTTTGTCAAACGCGGCTTTTCGCACCCGTGAAACGCCGAGGTTTATGAACGACTCCTGCTGCCCTGGTTGGGACTTTCCGGTCGTGACTCTCTTGGACAAACCATCAAACATGGACGGATTCCCTAAATTTACAGAGAGCTCGAGCTTTATATACCAAATAAAACTCATCTTACCAGGCCATTGTTTTAAGCAAAATTGTTTGATGCAGGTTGGACTGCATTTCTACACATGGGTCAAGAAAGTGTAAAACATCCATCTTAAAGATGGATGCAAGTAAGTGTTCCATCGAAAAACAATAGAAACTAACTGTCCAAATGTTTTCTTATTAGAATTATTATTTTTAATTTTTAAAATTTATTTATTTATTTTATATTTTTGATTTCTATGTTAGAATTACATGTCCTTAAAAATTAAGTCTTAAAATCCGTCTAAAAAATAGATTTATTAAGAAGCCCGCATTTCTACATATGCGGGATTGGACGCATAGAAACCGAGTCCTTTTTTTAAAAACCCTAAAGTATGGGGAATGATAAAATCTATAGAGATAAATATTAAGTTTTAAAAGAAAAGTTTTTTGTGGGTCACCGGGTGCGAGAGCCTCTCCATCATCTATCTTAGAGATGGTCATTGTAAAAAACCCACGGGGCTAAAAGTAATTTAGATGGTGTAGAAAGTTTTTTTAGAAAAAATCTTATTTTAAATATTAAATTTTTTTTTTTTTCATATTCATGATCATCCTAATCTAGATCATGAATCCTAAAATTTTAGATTAAAAATCTAATTTTAAGATAGATTTAAGTGGGACTGCGCATATGTGCAGCATGAGTGGCTGACTTATACAAACCCCATCCATTTTAAAAGGAAAAAATTTATATAAGGGTGAATCCCTAAACAATCCTAAACAATCAAATTAAGGCACACCTTAAAAATTGTCTAGAAGAAGTTGCTTTAATTAGATGCTAAAAGACCCTCAATTTGATCATCTCAACCTCCAGATATATGGATATGAGGAAAAGTAGCTTTCAAGTCTTGAAAATAATGCATTTTGTAATGCAATATTTTACTGTCAATTTTCAAGATTTTTAATTCTTTATAGATAAGATTTTTAATTCTTTAAAGATTTGCTCGATCGACACGATTTTTTATTATTTAAATTTTATAATGGATGCAATTTGTGTAGATCTTAGGCTCTAAACCATCAAATTAGAGCCTACCTTCAAATAGCGTCAAGAAATATGGTTTCAATACTGAAAATACTTGTGATAGCCTTAAAATATATTTTCATTTTTATTTATAAAGTTTAAAGCATAAAAAATAGTATATAGATCGATAGATCTATGAAAATTTGAAAATCTTGAAAATTGACGGTCCAAAAATGCGTTACAAAATACCCTATTTCCACAACTTGAAATCTATTTCATGTCTATTCATTTTGATGTCGAGATGATCAATTTGAGGATATTTGGGCATGAAAACAACCTCTTCTAGTCAAATTTTTTAGGTAAGCTCAAATTTATTTGTCTAGAGCCTTGGCTCTATATAAACTTTCCCCTTTTATAATTAAAGATCAAAATAAATTTTTAGTTCATAATAAAGATTTTTTATACTGAAATAACATATTTTAGTACCATTTGAAGTGCGCCATACTTTGATTGTTTAGGGCGTCAGCTTTATACAAACCACACTTTTTTAAAAGAAAAAGCTAAAACACACCTATAGACAAAAATGAATAGTATTCGCCACCATCACGGACTTGCTATGTCTGTAATAGTTTATTAAACAGAGCCACAACGGATGGTGTGTGGTCTGTGGCTGTTTCTATGGATTTTTCGACCGCCACAGACAGTCGAAAAATCATCGCCACCCAAAACAAATGGACGGCGATGACGCTATGGACGAGATGACTGTAGCATCTCACCCATAAGCTTTACGTAGATGCTTCCTTTTAAACGTTGCGTAGATGCTTCCTTTCAAAAATAGTGCTCATGATTGTTGTGATGAAATTCTTGAAAACAAAAGAATGTCGAGAGTTTGATTCATATTTTAGTATCATACATATATCTCCCATTAAAAAATGAGTAAATAAGTCAAAATACATGTGAATATTCAAATATTAAAGATTGTTTATCTTTGGATTCTACTTCCAGCTTCCAATATGGAAACCATAGGGAGAAGAATTTCCTAACAGAGGTTTACGAATTTTTGTTAAATCACCTAATAACCTAAAGGGGTGAAGGCTAAATTGCACGCCCACTCAAAGTGTCATTTTTTCTCTTACTTTAATCAAATTTCATTAGGCTAACCTTGGTCATTGATTTAATTTGAATTAAGCGCGACATTATTAACACTATATACATTGAAGAGAAATTGAGGGCTTGGATTGGCCAGTGGATAAAGATAATCAAATCTCATCATTTAATCTAAAATAGCTAGATAAAAATGAATGGCGTGGATTGAAGCCTTTCTTACTTTATAGATCTCATGTATGAAGGGCTCACAACACACCTCTCTAAAGGGAGCTTTCTCTACACTTACTGGACCATAATTGTCTCCTACAAATGGGATGGTCACCCCCTCATATCTCACCATCTTTCATGGTTTTCAGTGGTTGTTTCGTGGTTTAGAGGACACCATTTTGACTTTACCTCACCTGGGCCATTCTTTCATAATTCTTGAAGGCCAATATTTTTGTATAGTGTTATTTTTCTCAAAGGGTGCTTCAGCAATTTAAATTTAATCAGTATTATATTTCTCCTCTTACCGACAATTTATTTTTTTCACTTGGAATTTTTGAGTGAAGAATAAACTTTCATTTTCTTTCCCTAAATATGATTTATTTTATTTTATTTATTTATTTTTTCTTGGATCCAGATGGTTGGGGCCTGATTTTTTCCTCGCGTGGATGGGGAGAGAAAATCCTCTCTCAAACAACCGCAGAGGGTCCGTGCGTGCTACATGTTTGATGGTGTGCGCACACGTGCTCTCCTTTGTGCGGATAGGAACCAACAATGAGAAATAGTTTACGATAGGGGTGCATTGAGGCACCTACCTCGTCGTTGGTGGGTTTGGGGACACGTCCGGGTAGTTCGCCCACTTAGAACAGTTACGAAGCCCTCCGGTTGTCTGCCAACGCTGCTTGGACATGACTCTCCTCAAGCTTTAACACGTCGCCCTGTTCTCTTGTGCTGGAAACTGCAATGTGAATTCGATGATATTCCTCTATAATGGTTCACTCAAATGGGGGTTAGCTGGCAAAAGAAAGAATGAGGGGAAAAATAGTGACAAGAATCCCCCTAGCCGCGCAAACGCTATGCGCTCAGACGATCAAAGCAACTAAAGAGTTAGAACCCTCTCGACTATCGACTCAGGAAGATTCCATCCGAGTGAGTGAGGGAGAGAATGTATGCATTGCTCGTGGCTCAACTCGTCTATACGGAGAGAAAGTTAGAGCGATGGTTCGAGGGTTGGAACTCT